GGGTGGGGGGCGCGGGGTTTGGGGTTTGGGCTTGAGTCGGGCATTTTGAGGAAGCAGACTCCAAAGCAGGGCCTGTGTTGGAGTGTAGCTGGTGTGTTGGAGCGGGCCGCTGAACCAGCTGGAGCGCGATGAGTTGGGGGGTCCAAGGATCCTGCATGCAGGAAGCGGCTGCAGCAAGCCTCGGCCTGCCCCGCCAGATTACGAGGCGCTGAGCCGGAGTATGACGACAGTGCATGCAACCTCACCTGGCCTCCCTGAGCATCAGAATTGTCGTCGAGTCATCAGCAGACCCCAATTTGAGCACAAAAAGGGGCGCACACGCAGCAGGTGTCAGGAGAGAGTCAGCGCGGGTCAACTAGGGGTATTATCGAGGCGCGCTTGCCGCCACCGGGCTGCCGGCTTGCGCTCATGAACCCGGCCCCTGCTGGCGATACACCGGCAGCCGGCCAGGCGTGCAGGCGGCGAGAGCTGGTGGGTGCTCACGTGCAGGTGGGGGAGCAGAGCCTCATGTCCTCAAAAAGCTTCACGCCGTGGGCCAGCATCCACAGGCCCACCATCGTGTCCTGTGTTTTTGCACGTGATAATTCAGAAACAGTGGGAACCAGGAGGGAACTTGGGCACGGCAGCGTCAGGCAATACTTGCATGGAGCGAGATCGCGAGGCCCGCGTGCCCCGCTCGACCAACCTCGTTGGCGAGGAGCCTGAGGTTGTCGAGGTTGCGGACGATGACGTCCTCCACAGCGCGCCCCCTCAGCGCGTAGATGGACCCGTAGGAATGCAGGTAGTAGTTGCTGCCCAGCAGCAGGTGCTGGGGCTCGTACCAACGCGTTCCTGGTGGCAGTGACGCGTGCGGAATGGTAGAGATCGGGCCAAAGTTCCAGATAGCATATGATTGCTGGTGGCTGCTGACCTATTGAGCGACTACTGCTGCACAGATATGAACACTTCTCTCAGCCCTGCTGATGGGCAGGCGCTGCGCTGCTTCAACTATCGCTTGAAACCGCTGCACCCTTCCTTTCCAGGGTTCTAGAAACGATCAACTGCTTGCACCGCCGCCCGCAGGCAGCGGCGGCACGTAGCGGCCGCTTGCGCACCCGGCTCCGTCCACACCGCGCCATTCTTCAGGCAGCCGACGTAGCCCGCCTCCATGCGATCCCACTGCTTCATTGCCTGCGCATGGGAGGCATCGGCAACAACCAAAAGCGAGGGAGCAAGAGGAGACGGGGAAATGAACATTGTTGTCAGCTTCCATCTTGGGCGCCTGATCAGGGTTTCTAATGCGCAGCTCGCAGCCCCCCTGCGTGCAAAAATCAGGCTGGAAGGCTAGAGTGCATGTAAGCAAACATAAGTGCGACTGTGCGGGAGGGTTGCATGCGGGGTGGCGTGCGGCAGACTGAGCAGCGCGAATGTTTGGTTTGTGGTGACTCCCTCAAACACTCCTAAAAGCGGCCATGAAAAAGGATTCAAATGAGATCCAGACCTTCCTCCAATGCTCGGAAACGTTTTGACTTTTCCTACCAGCAGCAGGCGCTCCACTGAGAGGTACACGTCATCATCCACCTTGACCACCTGGGATGGTGCGAGGGAGCAGGGGCGCACCAAAAATGCGCGTGAGGCAGTTCGCCCTGTGCAGCAAGACTTGCGGACGCGTGCGTCATGCGTGTTGCCTATTGCTCAATTTTGTGTATGCGTGTCGATTTGACAAGCACGTGGATGCGAATGCACCATTCAGGCGTGGGCTGGCAGCTGCACCAACGGGAAGCGGTTGCAATGCGGATGGAGGGCGCAAGCGGGGACACACTCCCCAGCCTGCTCGGCCTGCTGCTGAGCCGCAACACGCATTTACAGACCCTCAACTTGAGGCTGTACCCACGCACCCAGTCGGCGTCGTACTTCTCAGCAGCCATGGCAAAGAACGCCCTTGTTTTGTTGGGAAGGTGGGAGTACCCCTCCTGCAGGTTTCAAAAGGTGCCCACAAATGCGCCAAGCAAGGAAGGGTACCAGTGATGACAGAGGGCGTGGTTGGGTGCATGGTGTCTTGAGGGGTGCTTCGTCCGCACCATGCTAGACCCCCTCGCGCGCAGCGCCAATCCAGGCCATCTTTGAGGGCATCACCAGGAGACCCAGGAGGGAGAGAAGTGCCAGACAACAGGCCGAGGTGTCATGATGTGAGGCCCAAGTGCAAGAGCCAGCAAAGCACCACACCCACGACAACACTGACAGCCCACGCGGCGCTGATCTGCAGCGCCCGTGCAGGCTCCCCCCCTCAACCGCGCGCGCGCACACACACACACACACACA